TAGAATTAAGGCAGTTCTGAAGGCGAAAAGGGGTCAAACACCGTAATAGTATGGTGTTCCTAATAATCCTTTAGGTGAGTGTATATATGTTTGTGTGTGTGTGTGTGTGTGTGTGTGTGTGTGTGTATATATATGTACATTGATTAATTTTAGTCCTTGAGTCCTAACTGCAACTCAGCCTTCCTTGGTTCCTGTGTAACTGCAGATCTTGCAGTGCAGTGCAGAAATAGCCAGCATTGCTCATCATATGTTTCTACATCTCCCACTGTCATGGTTCCCAGGGTCATCCTGGACAGCCCTGTGACGGAACAGGAGTTCCTGGAACAGCTCCACGAGCTCAACAACAAGATCAACTTTGCCAAGGAGCTCAGCTTCCGTGAGACGCTGGCCTGCTCTGACATCCAGGACATTGTGGACCGCCTCAAGATCAAGGTGCTGATCAGGGAGAGATAATGGGATGGGAAGTAGAGACTCCAGTTAGCACAGCTGGACATTTCAGATCCAGAAAGTAAAAATCCAGACCAAGATTATGTTTTAACCAACCAGTTGAGTATTCTGTGACTGTGACACTTTATGCTTAATTGGATGGTTGAAACAAAACTGTGGCCTGGATTTTTACTTTCTGGACCTGAAATGTCCACCTCTGCCAATTAGAAGGATGAACTGTGATCAACTGGACTGAGGGGGGGAGAATGTAGCCTATGGATATGGGGAACAGATATGGAGAATTAATTGTTCGATATTTTTTTTTGTATATCAGGCTGTCACAAAAATCCGGGAATTCATCCTGCAAAAGATTTACTCCTTTAGAAAACCTATGACCAACTATCAGATTCCACAGAATACTCTCTTGAAGTACAGGTAACGGCCACCAGCAAGCATCTGTCTCAGCAGGGTCACAATATACTCTAAGCTTAACTCTAACTCTTATCCTTTTTAAATTAAACTCGCCCTCTGCACAGCCTGCAGTGCATATCCCGCTAGCTTCACAAAACTCCTGCGTCTTTTCCATGCAGGTTCTTCTACCAGTTTTTGCTGGCAAACGAGAGGCAGGTAGCTAAAGAAATCCGAGACGAATACGTGGGCACCATGAGCAGGATCTACTACAGTTATTTCAAGTCCTACAGTGGAAGGCTGATGAAAGTGCAGGTGAGGGGGGACCAGGGCGAGGGGTGAAGAGCGAGAGCCAGGGCTGCACAGCACTGAAAAGAAATCATGTCAAAATATATAACATTTTTGTGGTTAATATATGCTTTGGTTCAATGTCGTCTCAATGGAATTCAAAATATTTCCATACAGGGAAGATGAGTGTCTTTCCGTGGTTCTTGTTCACTTTTCTCATCAGCCATTTTGTTAAATTTCTCACAAATGCACCAGTCCGACAACTATAGTGAAAGTTTGTTACATTTTGTTGTGTTATTACATAATGCATTGTCACAAGGTGCATGTGCATAAAAATTTATGCTTAATTCCAGAAGGATCATTTGTTGGTTTTTAAATGTTTTCAGGGAGTTTGAGTTAGGACGAGCTTCATCTGACTCTTTCGTTCTTCTGTGTCTTGACAGTATGAGGAAGTGGCAGATAAAGACGACCTGATGGGTGTGGAGGACACCGCTAAGAAGGATATCCTTTACCCTGATAGACCGCAGGAGACACGCACTCTGTTTCAGTGCTGGGTTCCCCCCTGTCTGTCGTGTACCTGTGATCTATAACTGAGTCATAGACCTTGACCTTGCTGCACGCTTCTTTTCCAAACCTTCCCTGAAGAGCAGGAACACCATTTTCACTCTGGGCCAGCGGGGGGCGATACTGAGCCCCACAGAGCTGGAGGGGCCTATCCTCATCCCCCACACGGCCCAGAGAGGAGACTGCAGGGTAAGAATACAGATCATCTCTCCTACCCTCAGCTATTTGCAAGAGATCGCCGTCATTCACAGGCCTGGTGGTGGCAATTTAGGGCAGTTTAACAGCCTTCAGAGATACTTCCACCACAGTGTTTCAAAATATTCCACAGACACACTGCTTCGCTGTGCACAAAGCTGTCAGTCAGCATTTCCTGATGATATTTATTTAGGAGTGTTTAGGAATAGGTATGACATAAACACATCACATGAAGTCAAAATAGTAGCAAATGAATTTGGTCATTTTTCTCATTCGTCTGCTCTGATCTTGCATATCACTCACAGAAGAGTTTAAAGTCCCCATAGTTAACCCCCCCCACGTGCTTTCAGTACCCCTACGAGACGTTGTTCCGCAGCCAGCACTACGCGCTATTGGACAACGGCTGCCGGGAGTTCCTCTTCCTGTCCGACTTCTTCATGGTGGCAGGCAACTCCGCACTGGACCTCTTCAACTGCATCATGGGAAAGACTCTCAGCATGTTCCTGGTAGGAGGATCCCGTTCCTTGCGGTGCTGAATTAATCTTTGATAAATATGCCATATGATGAAGAGCAAAAACTAGGAAGGCGTCTGTCTGTAAAAGCACGATCATTGTGATGATGATGATGATGATGAGGTGGACAGCGATGGCGAAGGCTAAAAGCTGCCAATGGTGGTTGGCATATTCTTAGCACCTTCCTCTCTCTCGGACCCCCCTCCCCCCAGAAAAGCATGTCCACTTACGTGTCAGATTGCTACGACAGCATCGCTATATTCCTTTGCATCCACATCATCCTTCGCTTCAAGGCCATCACAGCCAAGAGGAACATCCCCGCTATGGACAAGTCAGTGCCTGAACACCGTGTGTCTGTGTGCGCGGCTGCTTCCTAGTGCAGCGATCCCTCATGTCTCTCTCCCGGAGCAGGTACTGGGAGGCCGTGCTGGAGCTTCTGTGGCCGAGGTTTGAGATGATCCTGGAGATGAATATCCAGAGCATCCGTGACACCGACCCACAGAAGCTGGGCGTTCTGGACACCAGGCCTCACTACGTCAGTATCAATACTCGCTACATTTATTCATACTGTATTTGTATATTCTTCAAGACATATCCGCTCCATGAATTCCTTTCCTCGCCTGATGCCTCTTTATGTTCCCTGAATGCTATATTACACTTTTGGTCCTTGAATAGTTTTACTAGGTTCTTGCTCTGTTAGAAGCTGTTGTGTAGCTCCTGCTGTAATACTGCTTACGCTCATACCTGAGCATTCATTGGAAGCTCAGCCTTGCTCCATTTATGTCCAGTTGACTCTCTTGACGACATGCATGTTTGCAGTGTGTTATTTGCCTCGTTTTTTAATGTCACTTTGGACAAAAGTGCCTGCTAAATATGTAACTGTAAATGTATAC